AAAAAAAATTGCTAGTTTATAAGAAAATAACATCTGTAAGTTGAATTTAAAACCTTAAGAATAACTAAGCTTTAACATTTACAACTATAATGTGTTGCATATTAATCACAGAAAAAGTATGCATTCTTTTCCACGTTCAAAAGCCTCCCCCTTGCCCTTAGACACTAACCCTCTCAAATGACAGCAGAGAGGGTTTCCCAAAATATCCAGTGATTTTAAGCCAGTTGGTCCTGACACAGAATGGAGGAGTAGGTCATTTGGGGTTATCTTTTTGGCCACTCTTCCTTTTGCAGGCAGACCTCCAGAATTAGGTTGCCCTGGCTGACATTTTGTCTTCCTCCTTACCCGGAATTCACACTGCCCAGGACACTAGCATGTGACTGAGACCTGTCTTTTATCTGGGGGACTTGCACCCTTAAAACCATGTGACATGATATAAATGGCAGTGAAATAACAGGGTGAGCATTTGATGTTGGTTGAGCCATCTAGCCTGATGCTACACAGACCCTGGAAGAATGACCTGGTCAAGTCTAGTAAAAGGAAACGAGTGAAAGAAAGAGTGAATATCAGAGTATTTTTAGACTCGTTAGAAAATAGGCATGAATAGGGCTGGCCGAGTGGTGCGTTGGTTAGGAGTTGACTTGGGTCACCAGCTCTGAGCATCAGGACCCTGGTTTGGATCCCACATGAGGGCCAGTGATGCTGCGCCCTCTACAGCTAAGATGGTGAACAACAGTTCGACCTGAAGTTGGGCTGCCCTGAGTTGCCGACGACGGTGTATGGCCAGCAGCTGGTGTGTGCTTTCGCGAGCCGCTGTGAGCGGCTGTCCAGTGGCCAGCGAGTGACTGCCTCACCCAGGAAGAGCGCAATGATAATACCAGCATGGGCCAGTGAAGCGACGTGCTCCAGAACTAGACTGAAGAACAAAAGGACAGCAACTTGTCTGTTCCCTTTCCCTAATTCTCCAATGCTGTTCCCCTCCCCCAATTCCCCAATAAAATCTTAAAAAAAAGAAAATAGGCATGAATATATTAAACCTGAAGATAATTTTCTGTTTCAAATGAAAATATTCGAGTGGATGGTTAATTAATAATTTATATATAAATTATATATAATCATTATTGTAAGACCACTTCAGAAACTACATGCATGATCTAATAATTTGTATATACTCCATATGACACCAACCAAATAGAAAGTCATATTCAAATTTAATTTCTTATATCTGGTTGGATTCTTCCTGTCCAAGAGAGAAAATTTGCAGAGTAAGAAATAACCACGCAGGCCTTTCCAATGATGCTGTGGCTTTGCAAGTAAGGAAAATATAATGGTCTCTCCAGAAACAGGACTGAAAAGAGAATAGAAAATATTTTCCTATAGAATTGGATTACAAATCATAAATGAGAGTGACACTGTGATCTCCAGAATCTTTTGTCTGAGTATGCTCCTGTGAGAGACAAAAAGAGGGTTCCTCTCCTTGCCAGATGATGTCCTGCAGGCCCTATAATGGATATTACCTTCTGGACAGGCAGTAAGGAACCCTGGCAATTTTAAGGGTTGGGGCGGGGGTGGGAGGTAGGGAGTGGGATGTCACATTTTAGGTTTTTTGCTAAAACAGCCCATTGCCACCAAAGCAGTGGAGAAAAAGGCAATCTCATTCATAGCTGATGGGAGGTAATATCAGTGTGTAGGATCCACAGCTAGGTGATTTGCCAATTTCTATAAAATTACAATAGCATATATGCCGTGACCCAGTAATCTCACTTCTGGGAATTTGTCCCACAGTTATGAGTGCACAAGTGCAAAATGACAATGCTACATTCTTACTAACTGCAGCATTGATTGTAATAAGAAGAGGTGAAACAATATAAATGTTCATCAGTAGGTGATGTGTTAAATAAACTATGATTCAGCTACAGAGGAATAGTATGCAGCTGCAAAAAGAGATTGAGAAAATTTTCTATGTCCCGAGATTTAAAGATCTTCAAAATATAACAGGTATAATAATATTTTGTGTAAAATAGGAAAATAATATTTTTTCATCAAAAAACTCTGGAAGAATATGTACACAGATACACAAGTTGTTACCTAAGGAGGGAGGTTGGAAGTTGGATGGTTTTCACTGAATATTTTTATAGATGGTTCAGTTTTAGAGCAATATTAGTGTACTACTGACTCAAAAGATGTTTTAAAAACTCATTTTGTGGTGCAGCCTCTTTGGAAAATGGTATGGAGTTTCCTCAAAAAAAAATTAAGCTTAGAAATACCATATGATCAGGAATTCCACTTCTAGTATATACCCAAAAGAAGTGAAAGTAGGAACTCGAACAGATATTTGTACACCCAAGTTCATAGCGGCATTATTCACAATAGCCAAAAGGTGGAAGCAACCCAAGTGTCTATCAATAGATGAATGGATAAAGAAAATGTAGTATATACATACAATGGAATATTATTCAGCCTTAAAAGAAAGGAAATTTTGACACATGCTGCAACATGGATGAAGCTTCAAGTTGTTATGCTAAGTGAAATAAGCCAGTTACAAAACGACAAGTATTGTACGATTCGTCTTAAATGAGATACCTAGAGTAGTCAAATTCATAGAGACAGAAAGTAGAATGCCAGGGGCTGGGGTAAGGAAAGAATGGGGAGTTACTGTTTACTGGGTAGAGTCTCACTTGGGGAAGATGAAAAAGTGCTGGAGATGGATTGTGGTGATGGTTGCACAACAATGTGAATGTGTTTAAAGCTGCATGCAGAACTGTATACTTGAAAATGGTAAAATAGTAAATTTTGTTACGTGTATTTTACATAATTTTTTAAATCTCATTTTTTTTCGCAGACACAGGCAAGATTAATGAATAAACAAGGTGCGTATAGCCACAAAAAAGGCAAAACGATTACTGCACACAGGAAATTTCCACTGTGGGATTTCTTTGTTTTTCGGAGATCGGGTCTGGGAATGAATTGTTACATATGACCAATCATTTTTAGGTTAAGAGCAAAATATGTAACCTCGCGCCCAACGTGGGGCTCGAACCCACGACCCTGAGATTAAGAGTCTCATGCTCTACCGACTGAGCTAGCCGGGCGTGCTAAAGCTGGCCTTTAACAACTGTAATTAACAATTATTACGTCATGGTGGACTTGGGCTTGTATCCAGTTCCAGGTTTCAAGTTCGGTTTAGTTTGAGTATGGTCCGGCCATTAAAAGGCTCTTGGCAGCCCAGAAATTCAAATTCTCACTATCCTGCCTGACTGTCCCTCCCACTTCCGTCCGTTTTCTGCTTGCTGTCCTCTGCCAGGGAGCGACCTAACTCTTTTTCATCCCCGGGACGCTCACGGCGCGTAGAGAAAACGCTCGCATACTGATGCCACTGGCGCGTTCACCTTGTGACTTATTTTTAAATCCAGATTTAGAAGGCAGCGTCAGGGGATGGGAGTAGGTAAAAGCCGCAGAGGATACATCAAACGGGTGCAAACGCCGAGATACGGGGTTTTCCCCCCAGAACTGTGCATAAATAACTGCAAAAGGTGGAAAGAGAGCAAACAAAAGAAGACCTCTTTTTTGCGCTGGAGATGCCGGGGATCGAACCCGGGGCCTCATACATGCAAAGCATGCGCTCTACCACTGAGCTACATCCCCGCTCACGCAAGTTGTTCTCCCTGCTCTCTCTTAGCAGCTTATTTGCACAGGGCGCAGATGGGTGAACAGTATTCGTCAGGTTGAAACAACCCTGAGAATACAAAACCCCGCCTGCAGCATCGCAAGGGGTTCTAGGGTCCTCTACTGAGTGACTCCAGGTGAGAGGACCTTGACTGAAAGAAGCCCGGGAGCGGACAGGGCCGGGAAGAAAACCTGAAAGCCTCGGTGGAAAAAGGGGAAGTCTTTTGACGCAATGCCCAAAATGAAATATGAGCCTAAAAAAGAAAAAAAGACTGTGTGCAGGGCGCTACGTTTGTAAAACAAAAAGAACGGAGGATGTAGTGAAATATATATTTGTATTATAATTCAGAATCATTATTTTACAAATAATCATTTACAATTATTTGTAAAATAATTAAGAATCACTTGAGATGAGGAGGGGACTGGTGTGCAGGCTATAGGCAGACTTTTCACTGTGAACCGCTCTGTATATCTGAATTTTGAACCACGTCCAAATTAATTCAATCCAAGAAAAGTTTATGGAGCATCTACTAGGTATCAAGAACGTCTCTAGAAAACTGGGGGTTCAGAGGTGAACAAAACTGACACAGCCCATCCTCTCTAACAGCTCGCGTTCCAGAGGAGGTAGAGTGCTAGAGGGCTGAGGAAGAGAATGTGGTAAGGTGTGAATTAAACAGTGTGGTCCCGGCAGGCTTCATTGAGAAGTGACATTTGAAACAGGACTTGAAGGAGGTGGGAAGTGGGCCATGCATGTATCTGGGAGAAGAAAGGTCCAAGTAAAGGGAACAACCGGTTCAAAGGTAGGCTCTTTCTGACATGTTGCAGAGCAGCAAGGAAGTCGATGTGGCAAGAGGGGAGTCACCAGTTGAGAGTGATAAATCAGAGTAGAGAGGCGGGTGCAGGAGATGGGGAAGAAGAATGGGTAAAGCTTTTAGACAACAGTAAAGACTTCGACTTTTACTCTGAGAGAGGTGAGAGCCACTGGAGGGTTTGAGCAGAGGAAGGCCATGACAGGAACAGAATTGTCCTCACAGCTACATGGAGAAGATAGGGCAGAAGAGCGGAGCAGAAGGGCAGAGACTGTTACACACTGGAGATGGTGCAGTGGAGGAGGTGAGAATGAGTACATGTTGAAGCCTGCGGGTAGGGCGTTTGCAGTTTTTTCCTCTTGGGAGTCAGAGGACTTCCTGGTTTTGACCTGAGCATCTGGAGGGATGGAGTTGCTGTTAAACGGGGTGGGATGGGGAAAGCTGTGGGAGGAGCATGTGGTGGGGCAGATTAGAAGTATAGCTGTGGACACAGTGAGTGTGTGACCCCCCTTACAACACGCCTGTGAAGATGCAACCCGGGAGTTGGATGTGGGAGCCAGGCATCTTAGGGGGACCTGAGCTGCGGTTGTGTACTGTGGTGTCAGCAGGGAGAGGGTCATTCAGGCTGGGAAAGTGTAAGAGATTACAAGGAAGTGGGTACAGACAGAGGTCCAAGGACTGAGCCAGGGCAGGGAGGGGAGACCGAGGTAGCAGGTCGTGGCGCTGGCTGGAAGAGCCTGGGAGGGGCTAAGAAGGTGTCAGGAAGGAGGAAGCATTATTTGGCTAGGGAGTTTTTGAAAGTTTTTCTTTTTTTTACTTCCCTCCCTTCCTGCTAGACCTCCATGACTGTTTACTATACATTTACAATGCATACCAGTTTCAATGGTTCTGTTGACTCTAGATGGTATGCATAACTGGCTCAATGGCTTTAAAGTTTTTACATTATCTGAAGATCCCCTCCTATCCCTGAAACAAACCAGCCTCTGGGAAGCGCCTTTTTCAGGAATTGCCTGACCAACGTCTCCTTTCCTTTGTTCGGCCTCTACTTACATGCCTATAAAACCTTTTGTCTCTATTAAGAGCGGGAAGGCAGTTTTGTGACAAGGAGTCCCCTGTCTTCCCTTAATGTTGCGATTTTGTAATAAACCTGTGTTTCTTTCCAATCTCGCCTCTCCAGTTTTGGCTTTCATGGGACGTGCAGCCGGACCTTTGGCACGGTAACAAGAAAGGGGACTTTGCCTTTGGGTTAGGATCGCTGAGGTCACTGGTGACTTTAATAAGAGCGATTTCTGAGGAGGGTAGGGGTGAAAGCCCGACTCCAGTGACCTCCAGAGGGCATGAGAGAGGGGGTGGAAGCAAATAATACTGGAGCGGGGCTGTGGAGATGATTTGAAGATGATTTGGAGGGACAATAGAGGATTGGGTTTTTTTTTGGGGGGGGGAGAACACCAAGTAAAGTGGGAAATTTTATTGTAAATGTATTATTTGTTCAAAAACCAAAATTAAATAAAGAATAAACAGCGGGGGAGGGGACAGCAAGAAAGGTAGCTACAGGGGTGGATATGAGGCCACGCTTTGGGGAGGCAAGAGCCAGGTTCCAGATTCCAAATTTAGCTCAAGCACAGGGCGGGGACAAGCCTGCACTCCGGTAACCTGACACTGGCTCGGGCGCCAGGCCCTTCCCCGGGCCGTGCTGGGTCAGCCTCGGGCGCCATCCAGGAGTGGTGCCCAGCTGGGCGTGTGCACCCACCTGTCCCGGCCTGTTTCATGCAGTTGACTGGGTCAGGCTGGGACGGCCTGGAGGGGCTGAGCGAGGCGGGAGACAGGGAGAGGGCTCCGTGGGACCGAGGAGGCTGCGGACCAAGACCGGGGACTGAGGGGCCCAGAAGCGGGGACGCAGACCCGCACTTAGACCTCCTCGTTGCGCGGCGAGGCCAGCAGGCGCACCCGCCCAGTAGGTTTTCCAGCTGGGCGCGACCCAGCGCCAGTCTCCGCCTGCCGGCGTCAGCGGGGCCCATCCTCCCAGTGGGCGCCGAGAGGCCCGCCCCGGCCGCGGCGCTCTCTGCAGGGTATTACCGGGTCCCTGTTATTCCCCGCGCCGCCCAATTCGCGTGCGCTGAGGGCGCGCATGGCGGCAGTGGGGCCGCGGACCGGTCCGGGCGCCGGGGCCGAGGCGCTGGCACTGGCGGCGGAGCTTCAGGGCGAGGCGACGTGCTCTATCTGCCTGGAGCTCTTCCGTGACCCGGTGTCCGTCGAGTGTGGCCACAGCTTCTGTCGCGCCTGCATCGCCCGCTGCTGGCAGCGCCCCGGCGCGGGGGCTGCCGCGGCCCCCCGCGCGCCGCTCTGCCCACTGCCCTGCCCGCAGTGCCGCGAGCCCGCGCGCCCCAGCCAGCTGCGGCCCAACCGGCAGCTGGCCGCGGTGGCCGCGCTGTTGCGGCGCTTCAGCCTGCCGGCGGTCGCGCGAGAAGAACGCGAGTCCCCAGAGGCGGTGGCGATCGGGTGCGCGCAGCATGGCGAACCGCTCAAGCTCTACTGCCAGGACGACGGACGCGCCATTTGCGTGGTGTGCGACCGCGCCCGCGAGCATCGTGCGCACGCCGTGTTGCCGCTCGAGGAGGCCGTGCAGGAGGCTAAGGTGAGCGCCGGCCCCACCTCTGCCGCCCCGGCGACCCCTGTTCCTGTCTTGCAGTCCGCGCACGCATTGCAGACAACAGGCAGGAGGCCCAGGTCAGCCCCTGCCTCTTTTCTCCTATCCCATTTTACCCAACACTGGCTCCGGGGCCGAGCGTGGCTCTCCTTCTGCCCCCAAACCGTCAATATCCCCAACCCTCTCGCATTTTCCTCTGCGCCCCATACTGGACCGCCTGCGCAATGACCTCCAGATTTGGCGATTTTCTTTCTGCCCATCTCGGGCTCTAGCGGCATCTTGGGCACATCCACACACCGCTACACCCACTCTTAGCTCTTTCTCTGAGTGAGACGACTTTCCCAAGAGATCGCGCAAGGATAGGTGGCTCCAGGGTTGAGTAGAGCGCGGAGAGAGACGCCTGGACTGTCCAAGTTGCTGATTCTGGGCTCCTCTCTTTACTGTCTCCTTGCTGGGATCCCAGCTGAGATGTGGACGGAGACCTCGGGTGCACAGTCCCCAGACTTTCTTTGTTTTCTTTGCTCCCTACAGTGCTCCAACCCTTCCATACAGAGGGATTTGTGGTGGGGAGGAGAGCAGGAAGGACAAGGCGCGTTGGGCTGCTGGGGGCGGGAAGGGTGTTGTGTTTCAGCCAGAATTGTGCGCAGATGGTCCTCGGGAAGTGAGACCCAGGGACCTTTGGCGTCACCCTGAAGTTGCCCTGCCCCTCTATGTGCAGTCTGTGCAGCCTGTATCCATCCCGTCCAGAGATGGCTTCAATCCGACCTCCTCAATGAGCAGGGCCTTCCTTCCCTTTCCTCTGGATCCTCTCCTCAGAATGTCTCCCTTCTCACCCTCCCCCAGGAACTCCTGGAGTCCAGGCTGAAGGTCTTGAAGAAGGATCTGGAGGACTATGAGATGTTTCGTTCCACCGAAGAGAAGGAGAGCAAGGAGCTCCTGGTGAGTCGGGTACCCCCAGGGGCCCCTCCACCCCCACACCACAGCAACAGAGGGCCGGCCTCCCACCACCCGGGCTCTGTTTTTGGTGTGGTGTTGGAGTGTGTGCCTGTGGAACAGCAGAGGTGGATTTTAGAATAATAGGATTCATACACTTTATTATATAACCAGAGCTTTGGAGAATGAAAGGGAGTGCTAAAATAATGGTTCTAGAACAGCTAGCTGGCTTAACTGGAACTGTCCCAGTGAATCAGAATGTATAGTTACTTTAATATTACATAACACCCCAATGAGGGCCTGTGGTAGCATCTTGTAATTGAACGCATGCGTTAATGTTTCTACAGAGAAACATGAGTATTCATACTAAGTGGGGACATAAACACAGTAAATAGCCCCATGTTAGTCCAGCGCATGTTTTGCCACCAAAAGTTATGAAAAAACTTTTTTTCAATTTTAGAGGTTTTGAAATTGAAATTAAGGCAGGGGGCTCAGTGGGTGTCAGCTGCTTCAGGCCCAGCTAAGGGAAGGAGATTTGGGGACTGGTTTCCAGCAGCCTAGTGTGCCTAGCGACCCCTGGTGAGTAGGAATGATATTTTGTCCGTCTTTACAACGGAACAGGAAAGTGAACTGGGGCTCATTTTGGTTAAGGCGGGCAAACCTGGGTCATGGACTGTAATTTTCTACCTCTCAAATTCAGTTCCTAGCTCAATAAAGTGGTGTTAAAAGAATGAAAGGATCTACTAGGGTCTGTTGGGACAGAGCCCATTCAGGTCTGGATTTGGGAATTGGAGGAAGAGGAACTTAAGGTCCCTCCTATCTTCATGGTGGGGACGGGGCAGTGTGGAGGGGAAAACCCTGAGTTCAGATGACCCTCAGTTGCAATTGATGCACCTGCTTCCAGTGTGTATCCAGCTTTTCCATCTGATCATTCACTTCCCTCTGCAAGGAAGGGCCCAGCCCTCTACTGGAGACAGGAGTTAAGTGTGTGACTCTTCCATCTGTGACCCAGATGGCCTTCCACAATGGGGTCAGCTTCCGGTCTCTGACCCCACCCACCATGACACTGCTGAGAACTTTCTGCTCTGTCCTCTGCCAATCCACCACCCCTCAGGCCCGCACATTCTTTAGAATTACTAAATACTTGCTGAATGAAACAAGAGAGGTAGTGGACTCTTGCTGCGTGATAACAAGGAGAATAAATGCTTTTATTTGCCAGTGCTCTTAGCATTTAGAGGAGTGGTTCTCAACTAGGGGCAGTTTGTCCCCCAGGGGAATTTGGCAATGTCTGGAGATATTTTTCATTGTCTCCACTGGGGCAGGGTGCTATTAGCATACAGTGGTAGAGGCCAGGGTGCTGATTAAGCATCCTATAGCACAGCCCTCCACAACAAAGAATTGTCTGGTCTCAAATGTCAATAGTGCCAGGGTTACCCTGATTTAGAGTATTTTGGCTAATATTGTTCCACTTGTGTTATTTCCTTGGGAGGCCATACGGCATAGTTGTAAGAAGTTCAGACTCTGGTGTCAGACTCTGGGGTTAATATATACTGGCTCCCCACTTACTAGTCACATGCTTCTCTATCCCCTCGTTTGTTAAGTGGGATGAGAGTGCACTCACGTCATTGGGTTGTTGTCAGAGGTGAGTGAGTTAACCCTGGTAAAAGCCCCATGCTACTGCTGCCTGCTTGCCCAGTGTCCGGCTGATGAAGTTCCTGGGGGAGCCATGGCCTGAACCCAGGTCTCCTGACTTCAAAACCCACTCACAGTTTCCTCTTCCTTAAGAGTTTTCAGGGAAAAGGAGCTGTGACAGTAGAGCTTGTCCTGGAGGAACAGAATCCTTCTCACTTCTCACTGGCATGAGAGGTCTCCCTTGTTACGTCATGTGCAGCCCCTCCCACATGTTCATGTAAAGAGTCAGGAGAATCAGGAGCATGAGTCTGGGTCTGAAAACACAGGAGTGTAAATCCTGTGGATCATGGTAATGGAAAGAACAGAATATGAAGTCTGCACACAGTATATTCTCACTTGGGTCGTTGTGGATGTGCTATTATCTCTGGTCACTGGCGTTGATTTTCCTTTTTTTTCCCCTACTTTTCTGCATCTTCCAGATTTTATATTACCAGCATGTGTTACCTTCATAGTTGCTAAATAGAGGTGTGGTGTTCTTTTTAAAGTGAAGTAAAGTGAGGAGTGAAAGTTGGAGGGCTGATGAATGTTATAAAGCAAAATTGACCTGAGTACATTTTAAAGATCTTATTGACTTTATTCAGTGATTGATGAATTGGGCAGCATCTAATCTAGATAGAAAGGAGCTCTATCCTTCTTATAGGCTGCAGGAGCAGTAACAAAGAAGTTTTACAAGGCAAAAAAACAGGTTGGTTATTGCAAGGTTACTTTCCATATAGGGATGGCAGGGGCTTATCAGGCGGATTACTGAACAAAGGCAATCCTCTATTAGCTGATTTAAGACTCCATTTCTGGGAGAGCCAAAACTGTAATGAAGTCTGATGATGTGGGGCTTAGCATAAGTGACTATTTTGTCCCTGTTTTCTAGTGTTTAACACGGAATAAATGTATTTGGGGAAGAAAAAGTGACCTCAGTTTAATCCTTATAGTGGCCCCAGGAGGCACTAATTTATCCCTCTTGCTTTTCAAATGAGGAAACTGCAGCCCTGAGTAGTTCTGGGGTGAGTTTGACATTGTCCTATGTTAGTGGGAGATCCCAGGTATAAGGAGACACACGGGTACATCTGTAACAGGGGAAGGGAGAGCATGTATTGAGGCTGCTGCGTGCCTAGATTTGGATATTTAGTGTGTGTGCAGGGTGGGCACATGTTGGTAAGCCTGTGACCCCTGAGCAGTGAGCCTGCCCTTATGGGACAGCTCAGAGGTCCCTGTGCAAATGCAAAGCCTTGATGCCCACTCCGCTCACCTGTCCAACTTCTCCCCTTGGACAGAAGCAGATGGCAGCTGAGCGAGAGAACGTGGGGGCAGAATTCCAGGCGCTGCGGGCCTTTCTGGTTGAGCAGGAGGGCCGGCTTCTGGGCCGCCTGGAGGAGCTGTCCCGGGAGGTGACACAGAAGCAGAATGAGAACCTGGCCCAGCTTGGGGGCGAGATCACCCAGCTCTCTAAGCTTAGCAGCCAGATCAAGGAGACAGCTTGCAAGCCTGACCTTGACTTTCTTCAGGTGAGTCTGGCTCCCCACAGGGCTTTGAGTCATTTATCATAAGGCATGGTAAAGGCAGTGAGAACAATCAGATCCTGTGAAGGGACTGGAGAGAGGCGCTCTGATTCTCCTGGGGTTAGAGGTTTAAAGGGATGTGATAAAACTTCCTTGACCATAAACCACAATAATATATCTTATATCATATTCCAGTAGAGAGAAAAGTCTCAGAAAATCACACCTTTACTACATGTGATGCACTTTGATGTTTTCTATTCTGTTTCATTAAAAATAGTCACAGTTCACTAAACAAACATTACAAGTCACCAATGGCTCAAGAACAGTCATTTAAAAGACTGGTCTGAATGAGCAGTTGCTGCATAAAGGCTGTGACTTATCTTGGTGTTGTCACGAGCAGAGGGAACACTGGGTCCCAACAGAAGGCTCCAGTGACAATTCTTTAACAAGGGGAGCATTTGCAGAGCTGTGGGCAGAGTCGAAGGACCACACTGATGAGACATCCAGCTGCCAGCCACAGTGGGAAGCCCTTGGCCCCCGGAGCCATGCAGGCGGTGGGACGTGGTACACCTTCTTACTGCTTATTCCTCTGGATGCAGGGCAGGGGGCCGCTTTTATTTTCTCAAAGGTGCATGGAAGTTACTCAATGCTGATTTGATTTTCTTTCATTGTTCTTTCCAGGAATTCAAAAACACACTAAGCAGGTGAGTGAACTTAACAGTTCCTTGGGTGTCTCTAAGCTGGTTTGTCTCCTTTTTCACTGCACTCTCTCTCTTCACTTGCCACCCTTGACTTCTCACCTCCGACTTCCCAGCACCTTACCTGGGTGCCTTCTGAGGCAGATGTTCACCTGCCTGGCCGTGGGTATTGGCATGAGATCAGGCTCTCCTTTTTCTACCTTTTCCCACCAAAGGGACCTTACTGTCTTAATTGTCAGAACAGGACAGTGTTGGTGGGCCTTCCTCAGGGTCCTTGTCCTGCAGGTGCAGCAATGTGCCTGCCCCCAAGCCAAGCACAGTTTCTTCTGAGATGAAGAATAAAGTCTGGAATGTTTCCCTCAAGACCTTTGTCTTAAAGGGGCTGCTCAAGAAGTTCAAAGGTAGGGCCTGTGCGTGTGGGGCTGGGTTGTGTGGTGCCGGTGGCAGTGGTGTGGTCCTGGTGGTTTTGGGTCCCAAGGATATGCCTTTCCAGAAGTTATGTGAGAAAACAGGAGCTGGGGTATATGGTGGCTAATCTATTCAGACCCCCTCAGGGCACAAAGCTTCCCCTGGGGACAGACAGGGTAGACGTGCATTGGGGACATTGAGAAAGGAGAGCTCAGCTCTGACTAGCTCCAGGCAAAAGAGGGGGAAGCCGGACTGGGAGAACCAGAATACTGCGTCTCCTCCACAGACACTGGGCCTGATGTATCGGAGTGAGCGAGCCAGGGAGGCCATAAATGTCAGAGTAGGTGGTGTCACTGTCATTGCCAGATAGACAGTCTCCTGTGTCTTTCATACATACCCTGCTTTGTTTCTTCCCCTCAGAGGATCTTTGCGGAGAGCTGGAGAAAGAGGAGAAAGGTAAGATGGTTGTGGGTGATAGTGAGCGTCCCTTATGTGGCCATGGAGAGAATCCACTTCCTGCCAGTGACTGTCTCTCTGGGCTTTGTGCATGGTTGGTTCTTCTGCCTGCTCACCTCAGCGACTGTCATCTGGTCCCTATTCCTTGTCATCTTCATCTTCACTTCATAGTGCTGACTCCCTCAGGCCACAGTGGGACCTATAGGGCTGTAGAGCAAAAGTGTCCTGCGCCTCGGGATAAGATTGGGGAGGGCTTGTCGGTCACTGGACAAGCTTCTCCTGGACGGGGTTGTGTACAGGGGTCAGGGGAAGCTGGAGGAGGCTGAGGACAGGAAATGAGATTGTTCTTACTCCTCCAGAGCTCTGGGGTGAGTGGGATCCAACCCACGGTGAGGGGAGGGATAGGCAGAGCATCTACTCCTGATGCTGATGACGGAGCTAAGTCAGACTTTGGGAAGAATCTAAGCCAGCTGAGACAGACCATGTCCCTCCTCTGCTGGGAACCCCGCACTGGCCCCTCTCAGGCAGCAAAGGCTGGAGTCCTCACTGCAGTTTGCCAGGCCCCACAGCATCTGGCCTCACTGCGCACTCTCCCCCTGGTACTCTGTGCAGCCACACACCCTCCTGCTGCTCCTGGAATGCATCAAGCTCACACCTACCTGGGCCTGGGTGCTTCACCAGACAGCCACCTACCTACCTGGCTTCTCACCACCTTTATGTCTTTGCTCAAATGCACCTTCTCAGTGAGGCCTTCCCCGGGCCCTCTAATTGAAATTACAGCCTGCTCTCCTGATCCCTCTCATCTTCTATGTTTATCATTTATTGTCTCTCCTCCCCTCCCCCGAGAAAGGAAGCTGCAGTAGGGCAGGGAACTTTGGTTGGGATTCCCAGGGCCTGAAACACAGTAGTACTTACAAATGTGCATATTTGAGCTTTTTATTATGGAAAATCTCAAACAAACACTAAAGTAGAGAGACCAGCATGACAGATATTATGTACTCATCACACACCTTCAGCAATGATAAACTGATGGCTAATATTTTTCATAAAGACCCCAGCCATGTCTTCCCACTAGATTATTTTGTTTTTGTTTTTCTTTTTTTTAGCTGAGCCATCCTGCCACCTGTTGGCAGCTCAGCAGCTGCTCAGCTCGGGCAAGGACTCGAGCGGCTGTTGCCCAGAGCTCAAACTCTTGAGCGAGTTCTTAACCAACTGAGCCATTCGGCCGGCCCCCCACTAGATTATTTTGAAGTAAATCACAGATATCATGTCCATAAATATCTGAGATAAAAAAAAAATCAGAGAAGTTGATGATTTTTCCAGTATCTAAGTTTTTGACATCTCCCAATTGTCTTTTAAATTGGATTTTGTCCATGTTTTTGAATTGGGATCCAAATCAGGTCGGTATATTGCATTTGTTTGATTTCAACATGTACTGGGTGGGTGCGTGGGGAACACCAGGAATAAGGGGCGGTGGCTATGCAAGTAGCCTGCATGGCTTTCTCCCCTGTCTCCCCCACTGCAGTGGAGCTGACCTTGGACCCCGACACGGCCAACCCTCGCCTCATTCTCTCTCTGGATCTTAAAAGCGTGCGCCTGGGACAACGGGCCCAGGACCTGCCCAGCCACCCGCATCGCTTCGACACCAACACGCGCGTCCTGGCGTCTTGTGGCTTCTCCTCAGGGCGGCACCACTGGGAGGTGGAAGTGGGCTCCCAGGATGGCTGGGCCTTTGGTGTGGCCCGTGAGAGTGTGCGCCGTAAGGGGCTCACACCCTTCACCCCCGAGGAGGGTGTTTGGGCGCTGCAGCTCAACAGCGGACAGTACTGGGCTGTGACCAGCCCTGAGCGGACACTCCTCAGCTGTGGACACCTGTCCCGCGTGCGGGTGGCGCTGGACCTGGAGGTGGGGGCCGTGTCCTTCTATGCCGTGGAGGACATGCGCCATCTTTACACCTTCCGCGTCAACTTCCACGAGCGCGTGTTCCCCCTTTTCTCTGTCTGCTCCACTGGCACCTACTTGCGAATCTGGCCTTGAGGGAGCATTGCCCGGCCTCCCAGAGGGGGTGGGTCAGTTAAGGGTGAACTCCTCCTGGCTACCCATGGAAAGGGATGTTGTTCTCCTTCGAAGCCTCTTGGTGATTGAGTCCGCCCTTCACTCTCCTGCTCCAGGCTGCATTCAAGGGGCTTCTGGAGACCACAGCATCCGAGGCATGAAACTGGGTGATAGGGGAAAGGGGCTCTGTGGTCAGCTGAGCAGAGGAAGAGATTTTTTGTACCCTCAAGACCTGTCTCCTGCCTGTTGGTCACATGTGGATTTGGTCCAGCTGTGAGGAGGTGGAGACAGGTGAAGACAAGTCCAGCTGTTGACAGAGGTGCTTCCTCTCACTTGGGCTCATTGTCCAGACTCAGCAGGGCCTCTGGCTCCTGGAACAATACCAAGCCCTGGTCCTGTGCTGTCCTCAGTTGCAAGGAGCCATGTTCTGGCCGGAACAGCCAAGTTCACGATCACTTATGCTTTGCCTTTTTGTCAGCTGCTAGCTCTGCCTTCAGAGACCTGAATCCAGCTGGCCTGACCAAATTGTCTACTCAGGGAGGTGCACTGGACTCCCAGCTCCGAGAACAGTCTGGGCCAGAACTGGAAGGAGACCCTTGATCTGTACATGAGGGAGAAGCCCAGGACAACAGTATATATAGACATGGCTGCCCTCCAACCCCTCTTAACTTGATACAGAGTGATATGTTCATCCTCAGCCTCAATGTCAGCCATGTGTGCTCTCACAGATGTCTAAACCCTTCTCAAGTGCCAAAGTACAGGCTCCTTTGGGTAAGGAGACCAAAGATCCTGGAATTTTGAAACACAAGACAGCACTTATTTTACAGATGCAACTAACACCAGCATGGAAATGCACAGAGCACAAACATACCCCTGACAGATTCTGGAATTTGCTAAACATACGCCAACAGCAGAGAACCCTGGTGCCAAGGCAGCTCAGCCTGTGCCCTGGTGGCCATTATCACCTTGGCTAATTGTTCCCCTGGCTGGGCTTCTGGGAGGTTGGTGGTGGGCTGGCTGTTCCTTGCTTAGTGCTCCCCAGGGAAGGGAGATGGAGATGGAAATACAGACTGAATTCATTTGTAGGGTGGCTTGGCTCATTCTTGACTCGCCTAGTCTGTGTGTGAGAGAACAAGTGTGAGCAAGGGTTTCTCCAGACTGGGTGAGCATGTATGCTTCTGTGTGTGAGGAACATGCACACATTGTTGGTATCAGATTGCAGGGAGAGAGGTACTGCGCGGATCTTGGGAGAGGCACATATGAGCACATGCATAGGGTTTAGGTGCTGAAACAGACCTAGCTCAATGTGGTCATGCCCTATTATTGATTTGTTAAATATTAGCCACCTCACATTTAGGTGAGGGCCATAGGTTTCCTCCCCTACTAATAGGCTGCCAGGCTAGATGAAAGCCAGTTTAAGAACTAATTCTGTCCTGCACAGGTTCAGACTTGTATTGGGACGCAGGGACAGGGACAGTCAAATAGTTTGGTCTTAAAGTGTCATGGAGCTTCTGTGCTCTGTCCCTTGAGATACTTCAAGGTTCTTGTAGGGCAGGCATGATACTGTTCTCGAGACAGACCCAGTGTACACAGCACCAGGCAACCAATCCAGTGTCCTATGGGCTTGGGACAGGACCATTTAAGAGTCCAGTCTATGGGTCGGCCTAGTGGCGCGTTGGTTAGGAGTTGGCTTGGGACACCAGCTCAGCAGATGGGCCCGTTGGGATCCCACATACGAGGACCAGTGACGCTGTGCCCTCTACAGCTAAGATGGTGAACAACAGCTCAACCTGGAGCTGGGCTGCCATGAGTTGCCAGCAAAGGCGTAGGCTGCAGTGGGGCTGGCCAGCAGCTGGTGTACGCTTTCGTCAGCTCCCATGAGTGGCCGTCCAATGGCCAGTGAGCGACTGCCTCACCCGGGAAAGAGTGCAATGATAATAACATACGCCAGTGAAGCGATGTCCTCCACAACTAGACTGAAGAACAAAAGGACATCAACTTGTCTGTTCTTCCCCAACACTGTTCCCCTCATTCCCCAATAAAATATAAAAAAAGAAAAAAAATCTTTAAAGAGTCCAGTCTGTAGCAGCATACCAGAGGGTGAATCCTATGCCCTATTCAATACATCAAGTGTAGCTCTAGAATATTGTAGCCAATCTGTCTTTCAGTACCACTAACTTCCATAAGGAAATCCTATTTCTAAAATTTCACTTGCTAATTAAATTGCCTGTTATCGAGCCCTAATGTTATCTGGGCTTGTATGGCTTTTGAATTGAGTATCAATTACCCTTTGTATCATCTAGCAACTATGCCGAAGTATTCAACATGTTACAGGTCTTAAGGTAGGGTGACCCGTGGAAGCCATGTAGGGCCAGGGCCAGGACTGCTTGGGTGGTTGTGTGTCTATGTTCAGCTTTTGTGTTTGTGATTGTATGTCTATCAGAGTTTTCAGAATAACTACCTAGATAGCTATCTGATGTAACAACAGTTACATAACACTACACATGGAGGGTGAGAGATGTTCTCTTGGTCACCGGGACAGCATGGTGACTCTGGACATCACAATGCTGCTGTGAGAATGTGTGTGCATGTATGCCTTTTCCTATCCCATCCTTTGAGCATCATAAGAC